TGATAGAATATTACATTCCTATTGGATAATCTCTCTGGAACCCTGACAGTCTTACATTTCTGTGATTCTTATCTCTCCACTGGATTTTCTTTTTCAGAAATGTCAGTGCTCTTGTTTTCTCATAGACTCATAGACTTTAAGGTCAGAAGGGACCATTATGATCATCTAGTCTGACCCCCTGCACAGTGCAGGACACAAAACATTTTCTGATGTTTTACTATTTCTAATCTTTAGTTTTATAGTTTGGTATGCACAAGGTGGGTGAGGGGATGAAGAAATGGCCTTCAGTTTCAAACTTTCCAAAGGAAGTTACAAATGCTGAGGTGTATAATTTGAAAACATTAAGAAAAACCTTGACTTGCATCTTGGCTTAAAATTTATATTTTGGTCTTTCCCATGATATCTGCTTCAGTGTAATATGTAGAATTTTGTTTAATTCAATTCTTTAGCTATTGAGGCCAAGAAACGCAAATTCAAGGGTTTTTTTTTTGTTTTTTTTTTTGTTTTTTTTTTTTTTGCTCTTTGGAACAAATTTCGAGATTCTCCCTTATTTGTATATGCTGCTCTTGAAAAACTTGTTGACCTAGTTCAACTTGCAAGATACATTGCCTTATCCATTTTCATATATTAATTGACAGGCATTGAAAATCATGCTAATTGGAGATTACTGTATTCTATACAGTAGCAGTGCTGGAAAAAGCATTGCTAGATCAAAGAGAAAATTACTGCTTCATTGTCTTTTGTAAACTTTCCAGGATAGTCTTTATCACTGTATTTGCTTGGGATTTTGAGATCTTAGCTTTTATATGTGCATTTCTATGCCTTAATGTGTTTGGATTATTTTTAATTATCAATCTAAATGAATTTTCTGGGCTTTTTGGATGATAAAGGCAGTAGTGCAAGGTGGTATCAGCCCCTGTCCATGGGACAAGCTCTGATATAGATGCAGCAGTGCATGGTTGAACCAAGGAAAAAAGAGAGGGTGGTATGTGTTACCCCACACTTCCTTGGAGACCCCCAGGGTTACGCTCATGGATTTATTAAATGAGGAATTAATCCACTTTAGGGTTAAACTAAAGGGGAACGAGCTATCACACACATTATGCCCTCAAGCAGGCAAGGGTTGCAGAGAAATAGAGAAAGCCAAGGCATAGTATGTTCAGATCATCCTGCCCAGGGAGCTGATTATGAAGAGAGCTTCTGCCACATGCTCTCTCATCTTTATTGGAACTGGGTGGCTCCTGTCAAACAGGCAGGGTCCTTCCTCCATGTGAGGAGCGTGCCCAGAGCTCCCTCAATTGGGGCCCTTTGTTTAGAGCAGCAGTGTCTCGGTTATTGCTTTTATTAGTCATTGCCTGGCTCCTGACCCCATGTTCTTAGCCTTGCTGTTTTCCTTACTGCAAACACGTTCTAGTTTCCATTCTCTCTCACACTTATCACAGGGTGAAATGCAGCTTAGAGAAAGTTACAGAATTTAAAAAGTAAAGTGGCTGAAAATTACAGAGATTACAGAATTGCCAAGTTCAACAATCAGGGAGCTTATAATAAGTTGCCAAAGTTAAAAAGCAAAGCAACTAGCTGAATGTTACAAGGAAACTATTACAAAGCTTCAAAGCGCAGTAATTACAAAGGTACCTTCCAAAGCACTGCAGCCGACTGATATCAATTCCCATCTTTATTACTGATGATTTGTAGATGATTAAGTGACTTAGAAGACACTGCCCCTCCCCCAAATAGTGTTCACAGCAATGTAGTCAGCAGCCAGTGTTGTTCTCTAAGTGATGTGTTGGCAGGACCTTACAATTTAATGCAATGTGTAATTCAAGTAGCTCCAGTTTACAGGGTAATAGCTCAGACAGAGACTTTACACAACAGTATGTTGAAGTCTGTGCCATATTTGGCAATAGAGAAGGAATGTGTGAACCATCTCACTTAACTTTCCTGTCTCTGTTGGAACAAAGTGATTTTTCTTCCTAGAAGAAACTTAAGATGTAAAATATAGGAAAATCGAGGTGGAAAGCTGCAGTTATTGTAAGGCTCATAGTAACACATGGCATATAAGAAACAGTCATGCACACAAACCTGCATGGAGTAGAATCCTTGATTTAATGAAAATTCCTAAGAGATTGATCTTACTTTTAGTCTTCGATTGCTGAGTCTTACACATTAAAGTGCCATACTATTGAGATGCTTGTTTTGCATCTTTCAGTTGCTCAAAGTCTGGATATGCGTCACAAGTTAATAGACGAAAGTCTTGTGTACGTTAAGGATTAAGATATTTAGCATAATTGCAGGTGAAGCAAATAAAGGAAACAGCCATGCTTGTGGTAGTGTCTGCTTGCACAGGCTCTGCTCAAAGCTGCACTTTAACACTTGACTGCGTTGTTTTCTTTGTGGGTGGGGATGAATAAATTGCAGTAGACCTTTATTCCTGTCACTTGCATGCTGGAAAACTCAAGAGAAATGGAGGAAAAAATAGCATTAACTGAAAATTCTGCTTCAACTCAGTAGAAAAGACTTGGTCTTTTTATTTATGTATTAGCAGATTTACCTGGCATTACTTGAGTCCTTAACTCAAATTATTTTTTTAAATAAAAGGAAAATATACATGTTATTGAAATTACTGTTTTTTAAAAAATATAGTGCTATTTTTATTAAGTTAAAAATTACTAACATTAAATGCTTCCGAGGGGTAGCGGAGTTAGTCTGTAACAGGAAAAACTTCAACAACAAATACTCTAGTAGCACCTTAAAGACTAACAGACATGTAGATCGGGGTGGCCAACCTGCATGTGGCTCTTCAAAGAAAAAATTGTGGCTCCCACACCTGTGGCTCTGAGAAGGGCAGTGTGTTTTGTTGAGGGGGGGGGGACCCCATAGGGAGGTGGTGGAATCTCCATCCCTAGAGGTTTTTAAGTCTCAGCTTGACAAAGCCCTCACTGGGATGGTTTAGTTGGGTTGGTCCTGCCATGGGCAGGGGCTGGACTCGATGACTCCTGAGGTCTCTTCCAGCTCTCGGATTCTATTCCGGTTCGATTAGGAATGTTAAATTTAGATTAATCAGCTAGTCAGTAATTGGAGGCTTGTTTGATTCCATTATGAGCAATGCATCTTTTAATTTAATTCTTTGCTGGAAATTGTATTTTTTGAGACATTTTTTTTTATTTGTTCAGTCTGCAGCTGCATTTTCCTGTTGATTGATTTGACTTATTTATTGGAAAAAATTACAATCTTCCCATGTGTCACTCTGTTTTAACGTTCTTTGCTTTCAGGTGGATCTAATCAGAATAATGTTCAACATAAACCCTTTGGAGAACCTGAAGGTTTACATCAGCAGTCGCCCTCCCCTTGTGGTCTTTATGATCAGCGTAAGCGCAATGGCAATAGCTTTTCTGACACTGGGCTATTTCTTTAAAATCAAGGAGATCAAGTCACCGGAAATGACAGAGGTATGTATAAGATATGTATTCTGACATCCTGCAATTACAGACTTTATGATGGGACATGCTTATGTGATAAGCATACACAAAATTAGCTTTAACAGTTTCTGTTTTCCCAAAAGAGAAAACAGCGTTTCTTCCTACGCTGTGTACAGGAGCGAATTGTTGTCTTTTGCATTGCTGTATTTTTATCTATAGTGGTCATTTACCTTGTAAGGAATGGTCTTGATACAATTAACCTGATAAAGGGAAAATTAATAATCTATCCTAAAGAGATTGTTTGTATTGCCTCATGACCCCTCCTTTATTCTATTCCAGGGGTGGCCAACCTGTTAGAGACAAAGAGCCAAAAGAGCGGTGGATAGAGTGTGAAGAGCCACGTACCAGGGGGAAAAAAAAAAAAAAAATAGCAAGCCGTACCGGGGGAAAATAGGTCCTAGGGCATACCATCACAAAAAAAAAAGGGAAGGGGTTAGAGGGGCAAGCTCTGGGAGGGAATTTGGGTGCAGGAGGAAGTAGAGAAGAGGATGCTGGCTCAGAGGGGGGGCTCCAGTCTTGAGAGTGTTGGGGTCAGGAGGAGGGTTGGGGTGCTGAGCAAGCCACAAGCTTGTGTCTGTGAGAGTGCAGGAGTTTGGGCTGGGATGCATGAGGGGCTCAGGGCAGGGAGGTTGGGAGTACGATGGGCTCAGGATACGGGTTTGCAGTGTGTGGATGGTGCAGGGGAGTTGTGGCAGAAAACTGGGGATGTAGGGGTGCAGGAGTTTGGGGATATGAGAGACTCAGAACGAGGTTCCAGTGTATGACAGGCTCAGGTTTGGTGTCTGAGGGGTTGCAGGAGTGTTATGATGCTGTGGCCAGATGGGGGCTTGGCCCCAATTGGGGGCTTGTTGGCCAGGCTTCATATTTAAATAAAATATAATGTTCAAACTCAAGTTTTTAGCATTGTCTTTGAGAGGGGTGAGGAACCTGTTTTGGGTCAAAGGTCACTGACCTGCAGAAAAGTCAGTTGGGGCCACATGAGTGAGATGCAAAGAACAAAAACCAAAAAAACCCCTCCAAAAACCCCCAAGCCTCACTAATGTGGCTCCAAATGTGCTGGTGGGGGCAGGGGACAGTGCTGGGGTAGGTGGCAGGGGACAGGGTGCTGGTGGTGGTGGGGAGGTTGGCCGGGGGAGGGGACAGGGACAGCTCAACCAGTATCTGGGGATCTCGGGTCTAAGGAAGTGTGCGGGCTGCTCTTCCTCTCCTCCCTTCCCCTCCCATAAACAGCTGGCTCGCTTCCTGAAACACCGGGTCTGTTGCTGGGCCAGGGACTTCCTCCCCCCTGCTGTGTGTGTGTGTGTCTGTCTCCCAGGTCTGCATGCCAGCTCCTACTTCTCAAGAAGCGCAGGCTCTTCCTCTGCTCCCCATGACAGCCACGTGCTTCCTGAGAAGTTGGAGCTGGCATGCAGTACCCGGATTTCTACTCTTCTCCCCTCCCCTCCCCTCTCTTCCCCTCCCCTTCTCCAGAGCTGGGCACAGCGCACCCCACCCCCTGCTCTAACCCAATCCCCCTTCTCCCCAACCTAATGTCCGGATCCCAGAACTGCCACTGCTACCGGCACGTGCATCTCCCTCCGGGCACGGG